CGCTCTCATCTGTCACAATCTCTCTCTCGATGTAGAGAGTTACCTCACTGTCGCACATACATTGCACTTGACTATTATGTTTCTTGTCCTTTTCTCTGATGAACTGAAAACAATGGAAGTATGTCAATCTCACAAATGTAGAATGTGTCTCTGTATGCAGCTCAAACCATTGAATTGAATTTCTAGCAACCAGCAAACAGACAGTATTTTACCCCACAGAATTCATTTTCTCTGCTGCGAATATTTGTTTCGTTAAAAAAAAAATAAACCACTTAATTTCGGGTTAAAATGCACATTGTAATGCACGTTACTGAGATAGGACCTAATATTACTAAAATGTTATTAGTAATCCTTTTTATTACTGCTTTACAGCAAAATGCTTCACAGTAATGTATTACCGTAATATGATTACTTTTATAATGCATTACTCCCAACACTGTTAACAAATTACTGTTGGAATGGATGCGGTCCATATCTACTACAGTATATATTCATATTATCCATATCTATGGCACTTTTTAAATTAAAGTACTGTTAAGGCCCGTTCACACCAACAATAATAACTATAAAGATAACTATATTAGTGTCCACACCAGCAGACAATATCATTCTGTTTATTCTAAGTAGGTGCTTGTCTGACTCTTTAAATGTTTGAACTTGTTACAGCAGGATGGATTCTGATTGGCTGTCAATGTTTTATCGTTCATCAGCTGAATAAAATAGTTCTAAAAGTGATTCCAATGATATTGTTTCTCTGTGCCATTATCATTATAGCTGTGGTGTGAATATTCTTTAATGTTTAGAACAACTATATCTTCATCGTTATATTTATAGTTATTGACCTTGGTGTGAATGGGCCTTAGAGTTGAATGAGCAGTTGTTTAACAAATGAGACCTTCTTGTAAATTGTTACCATTATATTTAATCTTAAATTTCGAGTTGTTTTCCCTGATCCCTTTTCCTCCATCTAAAAAGTGTGCTTTTGAATGACAACGATAAAGGCCAACTGTAAGGCAAACGTGTCCTCAGTAGATGGACAATTTCTGAAATGGACGAGATACTTTGTGCCAAGATCCTGTTAAATGTGCAGATTTCATTACATGCCTTTGATGGACATAACTTGGCCTAGCTGTTCAAATTTATTCTATTCTATGTTTTATTCTATTTTCATTTTTTTTTTTTTTTTGGTATCATGCTGTTTGACAGTGATTAATGGTATTTTTATTTGTTTCCTTCAGCTGAACCTCTGGTGCAGGTGGATGGGAAACCCAGCTGTTGTTTCTTCAAGTTCAGTCCAAAACTGATGTTTACCAAGGTCCTGAAAGCCCAGCTGTGGGTTTATCTGCGGCCACTACAGCAAACTTCCACTGTTTACCTTCAGATCCTTCGCCTTAAACCTATCACTGAGCAAGGAAGCAGACACATCCGCATCCGGTCACTCAAGATTGAGCTAAATTCTCAGGCGGGTCATTGGCAGAGCATTGATTTCAAACATGTATTGCAGAACTGGTTCAAGCAGCCCCATACAAACTGGGGCATTGATATAAACGCCTTTGACGAGAATGGCAACGACCTGGCTGTGACGTCTCTGCGGCCTAGAGAAGAAGGACTGGTAAGGACCCTTAGACCTGCTAGACTATTAAAAATAGAGTTCCCTTTCAAGGGAACTCGAGCTATGTTAGAGACACGGTGGGAACGCCCTGTGTGATTGCGTCATGAAGCACAAGTAAAATCAGTCCAATGGAAAGCCGAGACATCATAGGTGACGTCATAGACAAGGAAACTATAAAGCACCCCTGAAATTAGACCGCAACAGCTTCTGTGCCTTTAAGTCAAGTCAAGTCAAGTCAAGTCACATTTATTTATATAGCGCTTTTCACAATACAGATTGTATCAAAGCAGCTTCACAGTGATAACATGAAAGTAGCACAACACAGATCAACAACATTGCTAAACACTAAATAACCCCAACTGAGCAAGCTCAAAGCAAGCCAAAAGCAAGGCGACAGTGGCAAGGAACCAAACTCCATCAGATTGGATGGAGAAAAAACCTTGGGAGAACCCAGGCTCAGTCGGGGGCCAGTTCTCCTCTGGCTTACATTCATATTGTTTAAATATAAATATTAAATATAAATATTGTTTATGAATCAAACGGCGCCATAACATATCGCAGGCGTTGAGTCGTCTCTTCACAGGCGTTGAGTCGTCTCATCACAGGCGTTGGGGCATCCGAAATCCCTGTGAGAGGCTGGACACAAAACTGGATCTGACAAACGCCATTTTTCTCGGGACAAGCGTCCCGAGATAACAGCAGAAAGGCAGATGGGAAATAATTAGCATAGCTGATGTTCATAATGATTTCCGTTATAACTCACAAACTCTCCGTAACCTGAACTCTCCGCAACCCAACCCAACCATACGAGCCGACCCGTTTGTCTAAAAGGCTGTCGAGCCCCACTGGTGCGTTAAGCAGTTTCAGTGGCAAACGGTTCCGTATGGCATAACAGAGGACTAGAAGGTAAGCATTATGTGAATGCTTGACTAAAGAGAAGCGTCTTTAATCTAGTTTTAAACTGTGTCAGCGAGTCAGAGGCTCGGACCGTATCGGGAAGGCCATTCCAGAGTTTTGGAGCTAAATGCGAGAACGCCCTCCCTCCTTTACTGGACTTCGATATCCTAGGAATGACCAGAAGCCTTGAATTTAGTGATCTTAAGGAACGCGGTGGATTGTAGGGCGAAAGAAGGTCCGTTAAGTACATAGGTGCTAAACCATTTAGGGCTTTATAGGTCAGTAGTAGTATTTTGTAGTTGATGCGGAACTTAATAGGTAACCAGTGTAGAGATGATAAAATCGGTTTTATATGATCATATTTTCTTGAACTAGTAAGAACTCTAGCAGCTGCATTTTGTACTAACTGTAGCTTGTTTATTGAGGATGCAGGACAACCGGCTAATAAAGCATTACAGTAATCTAGTCTCGAGGTCATGAATGCATGAATTAATTTTTCAGCATCAGAAACAGATAGCATGTTACGTAGCTTAGCAATGTTTCTAAGGTGGAAAAAGGCTGTTCTTGTAACATATGAAATATGATCTTCGAAAGACAAGTTGCGGTCTAGTATAACACCCAGGTCTTTTACTGTAGTGGATAAAGTAACAGGACATCCGTCTATATTAAAGTTGTATTGTGAGAGGTTTTGTGAGTAGTTTTTTGGACCAATAAGTTTTATCTGAATTTAATAGCAGGAAATTACGCGTCATCCAGCATTTTATATCTTTGAGACACTCTGTCATTTTAGATGAGTTAGTGTTTTCATCTGGTCGTGATGAAATATATAATTGAGTGTCGTCAGCGTAACAGTGGAAATTAATTCCATGTTTTCTTATAATATTACCAAGTGGCAGCATATATATTGAGAATAGCAGAGGGCCTAAAACCGATCCTTGCGGTACTCCATAGTCTACTGACGTTATCTTTGATTTTTTCCCATTTAAACAGACAAAAAGAGAACGGTCCGATAAGTACGATCTAAACCAGCTTAATGCCTGTCCCTGGACACCGGTGAAGTTTTGTAGTCGATCCAAGAGTATTATATGATCTATAGTGTCGAACGCAGCGCTAAGATCAAGTAGGACTAGTATTGAGATACAGCCTTGGTCAGAAGCTAAAAGTAAATCATTTGTAATTTTAACTAGCGCAGTTTCTGTACTATGATGCGGTCTGAATCCTGACTGGAATTTTCATAGATATCATTTTCTTGCAAAAAAGAGCACAATTGAGCGGACACTACTTTTTCAAGTATTTTGGACATAAATGGAAGATTTGAAATGGGTCTGTAATTTGCCAAGTTATTTGGATCTAATTGCGGTTTCTTAATGAGCGGTTTTATTACAGCCAGCTTGTATATTTTTGGGACATGACCTAAAGATAAAGACGAGTTAATAATATTGAGGAGAGGCTCTTCCACTACAGGTAATAGTTCTTTCAGTAGTTTAGTGGGTATTGGATCTAATAAACATGTTGTTGGTTTAGATGCAATGATAAGTTTATTTAGCTCCTCCTGTCCTATCGTTGTAAAGCGGTTTAGTTGTTCTAGAGGGTCCATAATTGAAGCTGAATCATAAGACACCATAGCGGATTGTACATTTATAATTTTGTTTCGGATGCTTTCTATTTTCGCATTGAAGTAATTCATAAAATCATTACTACTAAACTGTAACGGTATATTTTGCTCTGGTGATGTCTGTTTATTTGTTAGTCTAGCCACGGTGTTAAATAAAAACCTTGGATTATTTTGGTTATTTTCGATTAGTTTGCGGAGATGCTCAGCCCTGGCTGTTTTTAGTGTCTTTTTATAATGTGACATACTGTCTTTCCACGCGATTCTGAAGACCTCTAAATTAGTTTGTTTCCATTTACGCTCGAAGTTGCGAGTTTCTCTCTTGATAGCATGCGTAGCACTGTTGTACCATGGTGCTTTAATTTTCTCTCTAACCTTTTTTAATCTAATTGGCGCAACAATATCTAATGTACTAGTAAGAATGGTGCTTAAACTGCTAGTCATTTCCTCTAATTCATCTGTTTGTTTGGGTTCACTTTGCAGCTTAGATAGATCAGGTAAGCTATTTGAAAATCCATCTATAGTGGTTGGAAGGATTGTTCTGCCTGGTCTATAACGTGGCGCAACATGACATATTTCATCAGTACGTATTATGCAAGTCACCATGTAATGATCGGTGACATCATCGCTTTGCGGTATAATATCTATATCAGTTGGATCGGTTCCATATGATATAATTAAATCTAGTGTATGATTTAGACGATGAGTGGGACCACTGACGTTTTGTTTGACCCCAAAGGAGTTTAATAAGTCTGTAAACGCAGCCCCTAAAGCATCATTTGTATTATCTACGTGTATGTTAAAATCTCCAGCAATTATTGCTTTATCGACATTTACCAATAGATCCGAGAGAAAGTCTGCAAACTCTTTTAGGAATTCAGCATATGGCCCTGGAGGTCTATATACAGTAGCCAGGGCTAGAGATAATATGGATTTCCTTCTTACATTTAAGAGCGTAACATTTAGCACAAGTACTTCAAATGAATTAAACCTGTGACTTGTTTTCTGAGTAATATTAAAAATATCTTTATAGATTGTTGCAACACCGCCGCCACGACCGATCAGACGAGGCTCATGTTTATAACAGTATCCTGGCGGAGTAGATTCGTTTAGACCGAAATACTCATTTGGTTTAAGCCAGGTTTCAGTAAGGCACAGAACATCGAAGTTATTGTCTGTGACCATTTCATTTACAATAACCGCCTTAGGTGTGAGCGATCTAATGTTTAGGAGACCTAGCTTTAGCAAGCGCTCTCTGTATATCTGTCCTTGTCATATTTATTGTTGTCTGTCAAGCTCATTCATTCATATTATGGCAAGCAAGATTTTAGACCTTATGTTGTTCCCTGCCCTCATTACATCACGGGTGGGGACAAACATCAGCTTTGTGTTGCTTGTTTGGGAGTGGAGCATGCAGAGCCAGTCCCAGACGGGGCTGACTATGAGCATTGCGAAAGGCTGTCCGTGAGGACACTCCTCTCACGCCGGGCATTCTTTGAGGAGGACGGTTCGGTTTGCGTTCCCTGAGGTGCGGGTCCCGCTGCTGCCAAGGCATAGCGGCGGCTTTCATCTTGGGGTTCGCAGATGGATCTAGTAGCAGGGTTTGAGACGGCCCCACCCTTTCTCAGCTCTTACCTGCTGGATCTGGTGCCTCTGCGGTTTCTCCTCCCCAGGTTAAGGCACCAATGTTGCGGCTATCCAGTTCAGAACTGTATGTAGTGGATATAGGGGATTATGAGTTTTCGCCAGCTCATACCCATGCTGATGAGGAGCTTATGGAGGTTTTGACTTGTGCTGTTGCTAAATTAAATATTGACTGGCCAGCTGATGATGTTGATGTTGAGTCTAGAAAAAGTCTTTTAAATGGACGATTTTTGCTATCTAGACCACCACGTATAAAGGGAACTCCCATTTTTTCCCGATCTCCACACCGAGGTGTCGAATTCGTGGAATAAACCGGCATCTTTCAGAGATAACCCGCAAACGAGTAATTATAGTAACGTTAAGGGTATTGCACACTATGGTTACCTAACAATGCCTCGTACAGAAGAGACGCTCTCTCCCAAATCAGCGCCAAGCCCCGACGTTACCCACCAAGCCTTTGAAAAAAATATCTTTGTTGGTGGGTAAAGTGTATTCGGCAGCAGGTCAAGCCGCAATGATGATTTCGTCAGTGATGACGATAACGAAACGATTTCATTGACGCACCGTTTTTTTATGACGATAATGCGACGATGACTAGCTAAAAATAGGTAACTAAAACATGACGACACGTTTTCGAGTTTTCGTTGACGAGACAAGATGTAACGAAAATTATTATAAGTCTGACGTTAACAATGCATGTAATTTCTGCCTGTTTTACGTGAAATCTGTCTGTATTGAGCTAAAAAAAAAAGTATCGATGTTTGTGTGAGCATATCAGTGAACACCCCTGACCACTCGGTGAGTTTCAGGTCTTTGTAAACCAAAGTTTAATGCGTTTTATGAATGA